AAAAAAAATAATAATAAATTATCTCCTCACATAAGATTATGTTAAAGTATAAAAATGTGACTAAAAAGTTGTCTTCGAAAGCAAATAACTTTAGGAGTCTTCTACTTTAATTAGGAGTCTTAGACAGTAATTAAATTCAAAAAAGTTTTGTCTTGGAATACAAATAACTTTAAGGATCTTCTACATCAAATAGACATGTAAATAAATTCAATTATTGTAGCTTATGGATATGAAAAATTAAATATCTATCAAAATCTTCACAAGTATATAGATTTTTAGTCTCGCCAGCTCTTGTTTTGTTTTCGGATGCGACTGTACGTTTATCATTCTTATCCTTGATATAATTTAAGTTTTTTTTTTCCTGTGAAATTTTCTAGAAAACTGACAACTTTATTTGAAGGAATGTTCTTAATAATTTGTTGCTTATTCATTATGGTGATGGTCATAGTTAAGCTTAAAGACAACAAGTTGGATCTCTGCTAAGTAATCTGAGCGTTTCGCGTGTCGAATTTGAGATCAAAATAAACTATTTAGAAATATTTTTATAAACCCCGTGCAATATCATTACGTATGTTCATCCTCGTGCTAATGAGGGTACTAAAATTGTATATCTCATAAGTGTAGATTAGCAGAACATATGATAATATACTAAAGTTTGTAGAAGGTGGACTAATGACGACAATAATATATGTGGGTTCAAATATATATTGGTTGCAATACATGTCTTGCAATAACAAAGATCTTTTTTCTTCTGGACAACATTCTCCAAATTTAATGTGTGTATTATAATTGAATTGTATAGCTTCACCAATTGGTTCGACTTAATATCAATGTTAATCTCAATTTAATGATTATTATAATTTAATCAGTTAAGACTTCAACATCGCTTGAACTTTGAGTTTTACAAAAATTTACTATTTCATATACAAATATTTAGGACTGCAATACTCAATATTCGAACTTTAAAACCAAGTTAGAATTCTTATTAGGATTGCGTCTTTATCGAACCATATATATAAGGTAGATATTCTTGTGTATTTTTTCATGAAGCAAATGATTATGTGAAAATAAATTTTTTTGATGTCGATCACTTTAGATAGGTAAAATTACTTGAAATATTAGATAACTATTTCTAGCAAGCTGGTTTAGAAACCTTAAACATAAAGTAAGTAACATATTATAACAAGTTAAACTATAAGATGGTAAAATTCTTTCACATTGTCAAAATATATAACTTGGCTGATAGTGATTGTTTTCATTCTTCGTTAGTTAAGTAAATTTACGATTTCTTTGTTTTCATTATAGTTTATGCTAATTTATCTATTTTAATCATTTGAAATAGTAATCCAACTAAACTGAGAAACTTATTTGTTTCTTTAATTTATTTTTGCACAACCCTTTATAATAATAGCGTGAAACATAAGTACATTTCGCGATAAACAAACTAATAAATAATGCTAATGAACTTTAGTTACTTTTACTCGGATGCACTTATAGGTCCATGATTATATAATATGAGTTAAAAGTATATTTTGGCCTATGAAAGCCAAATCGAAATAATTCTTCAAGAATTACGTCAGTCTAAACACAACTTTTTTATATGAATTATCACAATTGTTCACTAAAAAGATCTGATTAGACCCAAACTTTAACATAATTTCTTATGTTAATACCAAATCAAATGGCACCTAAAGAATAATCTTTCTAAGGGAAGGAGATAAGAAGATTTGGGTGAATTTTCTACCAATCAAAGAGGGAATTATGGTAAATCGTTGTGGAAACTAATGAATTCTCAAGGCAATTGTCATTAAGTACTAAAAGTATTTTCGAAATCAACAAAATAAGACAGTAAATATAAACTTTACGAAATTATATTTATAACATCAAATTAAAAAGATTCAGCTACCAAATACTATAAAAGCAAAAACATATTCATTATTTAGTGGTTTATTAGTTCAAGTTGGGAGAACGAACAATTATAAGAGGTGATGTGACCCTCCTTCCATAACAATTGATCATTGAACACAATGATGATAGCAATGTTGAAGATTTCCTAATAAGGGGAGAAGTTGAGCTTTTGGCGGATTAAGAGGATCTTCCTTGCATGTATGCAATGATCATTCACCACCTTATTTGTAAGAAAATTTTAACCTTGATCAATTACTAATAGATAAATCTTCATCCTCAATTATATTAATAGATGCAACAGTCATTAGAAAATTTATATTTTTTTGACTTTTTGGTTGGTAATACATGACAAGAAAAAGTATATATGGCCTATTAAAAGATATTTCATAAAACTCATATGCTCGAAATATGATTCGTAAATTTTCACATGGTAACTCTTCTAGCAACATTTTCGTGAAATAATTAGAGAAGTGCCTAAAGATTAAGTTTGCACTGAATTTAAGGACCAAAATTTCTTATGATTGAGTTATTGGTTTTGCAAATGTTCTTCAAATTTAGTTTACCACCTAATTATTTTTTCTGAACTCATAATGCTTTACAAATATCTTTTGATTTAACACATTTGCCAATCATTAATGTAATAACAATTGTGTTTTACAATAATTCTTTCTTCTTCTGTACGTTTTCAGTTGATATAGCATTAAAGTGCAACGCACGTTCGTAGAAACTAGTACTATATTAAAAATACGAATGTCCTTAACAAAATGTTGTTTGCCTTTTTTACCCTCTATAAGTATATTTTAATGGATAAAATTGGAAATACAAATAAAATATTTATTTTCTTTATAAAAAAACTAGTAATCGTACTCGCGCGATGCGCGGTCAATATTAAGAAAAATATTAATTAAATTATAATCGGGCTTGTTTGATCCTATTAGACCGTATTACTTTAATAAATTTCAATTGTCATCTTATTTGTCAATACTATATACCCAACCCTCACCGATGTTTGAGTAGTTAATTTCTTTGTTAATTTTTAATAAATAATTTTTTTGTTATTAACTAATTATGGCATGTGGCTTTTTCTAGGCTACCACTTGGATTAATGTGGTGCCTATTTCTTTGGCTTTTAATAATATATAGATAGATTATTAGCATATTACTTGTTTAATATTTTTGTTTGCTATTTGTAATATAATAGAAGATATATATTTTATTACTCTTGAAAATATATATTTTTTATTTTAAATTTTATTATATTTTTCTCAATAATATTATTTGAATTTTAATGAATAGATATACTTTTTATTTCAAAAAATAAAAAAGAAAATGATTTAAAAAATGAAATAAAGAAATTAACTAACCTAAACCAACCCTCACCCATGTTTTAGTAGTTAATTTAGGTAGTTAATTTCTTTGTTAATTTTCAATAGATAATTTCTTTGTTGTAACTAATTATTCCATAAGGTTTTTTTCTAGGCTACCACTTGGCTTAAGGAGAGGGCTTTATCCTCTCCTTTTAATAATATACAAAGATATATAGAATATAGAATATTAGAAAGAAACTACTCCACAATTTGAATCAAAAGTTTTTTATTGCTTTATTTTTGTTTTTTTATTTTAAAATAATTATAAAACTCCAACTTGAAACTGCTCCCCAATTTGAAATTGTAATTTTTTATTTTAAAACTCCAACTTGAAACTACTCCCCGATTTGAATGAGTAGTTTTTCTTCTTCTTTTTTCGTTTTTTTATTATAGTTAATTTTTTTTATTTTAAAATAATTTTAAAACTCCAACTTGAAACTACTC